AGACTGTTAGCTTTTTTTTTTTTCCTCGTAACCCATGGCCAGAGGATGAGAGTCATACTGTAAAGCAAAAAAGTCTGACTGGAAGAGTTAATCTTTGTCAGCGACAGTGCAGCGACCTTGGGTGTTATTGGTTATTTGTTTGAGCTGACAGCAATAAAGAAGTGAATTATGTGGGATGTTGCATTATTTTCTATCAACATGATCTTACATACTGGTTGCTTGCTGTACGACCCTATTTAGATACCAAGTTTTATCATGTAAACTTGGTTGCATACTTGAGTACTAATATCAATGTATTTTTTTATGAGCTAATCTGTAACTGTAAGCTAAATGTAAAGATAGTCAAATTTGAATAGATTTAAAATATTAGTGCAATGTTGTATTATATATGAGCAATATTACACGAGTAGCAGTGCGACATTGCTGTATATCAGCACGACTGTGATTCGGCAGCCATATTGCACTGCTACAAGTGTGATATTGCATTTATACAACAGTTTTACAGCACGAGTGTGTAAATACATGAGAAACAACAACAGAGTGTCTTTAAAAACCCTCTTTTGTGCAGAATTATTTCCTTCCGCCATGGATTCCAATCTCAAGTTGACAGTTTAACAGCTGCGCTCAAGCCTCCATTACTATTTCGAAAACGTCACTTTAGAACTAGTAACGAAGGAACATTGAGTTGCTTTATTAAAAGCTTATTGTAGGCTATTACTGTATTAAAATGTCACTGTATTATATAGAGTGGAGTATTATGAGAGAGAGATAGACTGAGCGAGTGTGATTACCTGCATCTGATACAGCATTCATTCTTCAGCTCAATCTCATATTCACAATAAAACATTAGTTTGAATGTCCGCTGAGGAAAGCGATATCTTTGTAGTACTATCCTTTCATCTGTTAAGGGTGATTTCCGATGACAGCGCTGCATTTGTTGGCTGCATCTTACAAGGTGTTTTTTAAAAGGAAAAGTAACTTCCTAGTTTACAACTCTGTTTCAGTCTCTTTCAATATAGAAGTCTTTGCTGCTGACACACACATAAAAACAGTCTCTTGTCGCCATCTAATTATTGCATAATAATATTTAATAAACAACAACAACAGCCATCATTAAAGTTCAGTCAAAAGTACAAAGGCACTCTGATATGAGATTTTGCCCTCAGACAAAACTATTTGCTCTGGAACAAATTATAGATTAATGAGACCAAAGACTGCCCATTAGATTTACCCAAAATGAATTATATCTTATGTTTAACCACTATAGAGACATCAGAGCCAGCTGCAAATTCCAGAAGATCTGGCCGAGGTGAGGCTGCTCTCGGCGGGTTCATGAGTGCTGAACAGCCGCTAACGCCCTGGAGCTCACGTCTCCGAAAACATAGAGGCAAATTTTCAAATAGACGTTATCTTTATTAACAAACCACATATTTGAAGTCTAAACAACTACATTCTCGCCTACAAATCTCTTTAAACAACATTCTGTGACACAAAAACAGTATTATTTATAAAATGATAAGGGATTTGGGTGTCCTATCACACACTCGGTCCTGGAGGGCCGGTGTCCTGCAGAGTTTAGCTCCAACTTGCCTCAACACAAGTATATCTAGTAAGACCTTGATCAGCTGGTTCAGGTGTGTTTGATTAGGGTTGGAGCTAAACTCTGCAGGACACCAGTGCTCCAGGACCGAGTTTGGTGACCCCTAGACTGTCATATAATTAATTCAATGAACGTTTCTAATTGATTGACAGCTATCATTTTAAATTGTGCCGATAAAACATTACATCTTTAAGCATACAATTTTTAAAAAAAACTTGTTCTTTGTGGGACAGAATTGATTCATTTAATTTATATGATCTTGTTATTATAATGGGATTTCTTTCATGAATGTATTTTTATAGTGCCATAACAGAACTAGAGAGTAAATGTGTTAGGACAAACTTTTATGTTGGCTTGAGAAAGCCAATGTTTGAAACAGCTAACATGTTTTTAGCATCACATAGTTAACATGTTTTAGCTGTTGCTAGCATGTTTTTAACATGTTTTAACATGTTGTTAGCATGAATTAGTATATTACTAACATGTGTTAACACATTGTATGTTTCTTAGCATGTTGTTAGCATGACTTAACGTTGTTAGCGTTCCCTAGACTAGTTGCTAGGCTTTGCTAGTGATAAATAGATAGCTAGCTAGATAGATGAATATCTGAAGGTCTTGAACAGTGGTTGTTGGTTAAATAATCTGTAAGAGTTGATGTTTGAAAGTTTTGACACCCTCGATGAAAGTAACTTTTCAAAAGGTTCACTTTTGTACCTTTTAGGAACTAATGTGTACACTGACTTTAGGTTAGGGTGACCGTACGTGCCATTTTCCCAGGACGCGTCCTGGCCAGGATTTCTATATTGCCTAAAATATCTAGGTTTTGGCTTTGTTTGCCTGTGCAGACCGATCGGTGTATGACATCAAAACACCGATCGGTCTGCACACGCAAACAAAGCCAAAACCTAGATATTTTAGGCAACATAGAAATCCTGGCCAGGACGCATCCTGGGAAAATGGCACGTATGGTACTACCTACTTTAGGTAACAATAATATGTACCTTTAAGTTGCTAATATGGACACTTTAGGTACAAAGGTGTACGTTTTGAAAATGTACAGTCCCAGTGACAGCTTTTGTACCTTTTCTTATAACATAACTAACATTACCTTCTGCTTTCTCTCTCTCTCTCTTTCTCTTAACAGTTTTGATGATAGGTAATAGGAACACACACACTAGTTTTAGTTAAACTGCATGTTTAATCTGTGGATATTTCAAAGATAAGATTTATTACAGTCAATGTGTTGCTGCATGACTTGAGGATGATGAAACATCTTAAATTGATTTGATGGGAATTAGCTGACTGATATAAAGTGTCTGAGTCTAAAAGTGTGAGTTGGGAGATGGTTTATTTATTACAATGGCAACCAGCAGTTTAAGGCACAGCATTATCTGTAATATCAACAAACCAGTGAGCTGGTTTTGTGTGTTCCTGTTAATGTGCTTGAGGGCAATATTCATAAAGGTAAACGAAACACATCTGTTAAACTGAATGAAAGCTGTGCTTTGAGCTGCCCCAGCGTTTGTTTAAAGGTTTAGAAATGTTTGTTCGAATTTTACTGTTGTCAGCACCGATTTGTTTGCAAACTTAAGTGCTTTAACGGCTCAAACCTGGGTACCTCAGAAATATGTAGACAAAATCACAGAATCCAGTCATAAAAATTTAACAGGGGCTGTAATTCAGAATGTCACAAAATTTTGGATAAATAAATCAAAGACAGGCTTGTACACTCAAACTGTAATGTGGACTAAAGTCTGTAAAAGTTAAAGTGCCAGAAGACATTTAAATATGAAGTCTGTCTGGTGTAGTTTTGTCTACTTCACACATAGGCCTACTCTTGTTTTTTAGCATATCATTTCACTATATGAAGACACTCCACATGAACTTCATCTCACAACACAGAAACACAAAGATCTTCACTACAACCCTAAAAAAAGAATAACTTTAACATAAATATATTACTATTGTTCAGTAGAATATATTCTCAACAGCAATACAACTTACAGTACAGTTTTTTCATCCATATTTTAATTTAAACAGTAAACCTCTGTTGTGTAGCAATTTGTTTGCTAAATTTCATTTGATTACATTTTAAAAATTTACTTTTTATGCATTCGTGTGATTACCAGTGTTTTTGATAATAAATTTGTATTAAATCATAAAACTCAGAATCCAGAAAATGTTTTAATTAATTAAGACACAGTTCATAGGGCACTGTTATTGTTACATTTGTAATAAATTATTAAATTGTTTAAGTTTTGTCAATTCAATTGATTAGATGTCTGTTTGAATATATTTTAAAACATATTTAGTCCTGTGCTGGCAAAGCTGAATTTTCAGCATCATTTCTCCAGTCTTCAGTGTCACATGATCCTTCAGAAATCATTCTAATATACTGATTTGATCATTAAGAATTATTTAATATTATCAATGTTGACAGCAGTTGTGCTGCTTACTATTTTTGTGCATTTCTGATGCAATTTTGATCACATTCAATTTAATGCATTCTTTGTCTGTTCCTTTCTCACTATTAATTATGTTTTTATTTAAGGATAGGAAAGTGAGCAAACTGAGACTTTTGTTTAACTCGTCTGTTTCTGAGATATTTCTTCTGAGAAAAAAGACCCCAGTAATAGTTTCTGAATTAGAAGAGATCTGAACAATGTCTCAAACTGTGCCCTGATTTAAAAGTGAAAGTGACAGGACATATAGCCAAGGATGGTGTCCCATACTTGGAATTTATTCCATTCAGATGCACACACACAGCAGTGAGTAGTGAACAAACACACACCCAGAGCAGGCAGCTATTTTTGCTGTGGCACCTGGGCAGCAGAATGGGAGTGTACATGGCCAGTACAGAGAAACGAACCCACAACCTTTGGGTTAAAAGTCAGACTCTCTAACCATTAGGCCACGACTGCCCCCGAGTCACCAAATGTCTGCCATCAGAAGTCAGAGATCTCATTATAAACATGTTATTTTAGTATTATTTATCTACTACAATATTATTTATTAATACTTTGAATTAGCTTTTATTTTATATTTTCACATTTAATTTAAATTTTAGTACTTTTTTTTTTTTTTTTACTATAAATTTTTAAACATTTCTGTTTAGCTTTAATGTATTTTAATGTATTTTTCTGTTAATTCTGTGAGTTGCCAAGGCACTAAAAGTTTTAGTTAACAATAACAACACCAAAATGAACTCAAATATTTCTCCTTAACTGAGAAGTTCATTAAGTCTCTGAGGCTGTTTTATGTTTCCAGATTGACTAATTTTGTATTTTTCCAAATAAATGAGTAGTTGACATCATCATTTGACACTATAGTACATTCAGTGTTATTATCTTTCAAACTTTTCACCCGATTCATTTTTTTGTTTCCTGTCGTCTCTCCTCAGTGATGCTTTGACAGTTTGAAGGGCTTCCTGAGACTCGCGCCACTGCCATGGCGGTGCGCTCTGACCTGTTGGGTACGGCTCAGCCGGCGTTTGAGTCCTGGCCTGCAGGCAGTGGCAATTCTGTGGAGGAGCTGGACGTCAGGAGTTTCCTGAGCTCACTGATGGAGGAGAACAGCACAGTGGATAGATGTTATCGCTCTCACTCCCGCAGCAGCGTCCTGCAAGGCCTGCCCTTCGGAGGAGTCCCCACCGTCCTCGCCATCAACGTCGTTCTGTGGCTGGTATAACATATTTAAAATATTCTGCAGCATTGTTTAGCTGCAACTGCATGACATACATCAAGTGCATCTAACATATTTTCTAATAATATTATGATTAAGGGTTATTACTTCTAACCATTATGAGAGTGTGAACCTAATGAATCTCACAACGCCTGTCAATAACATGTTTGTTTCACCCAAAAATTAAAAGAAAGAAAAAAATAGTCTCCATGAAATTTAGCTCAAAAGTCCTACCTCTCATATTGAGTACTGTATTTGCATAATAATTTGCAGCCTCATTATATTTATATTATTTTAATACAAAATATTGGATTATTTTCATTCATGAGAATTTGGGAGAGTTTGCTTAGTTGTCATGAAAATAGTGTTACAATGTAAAATGTCAAGTTATTGTCTAGTTATTTGATTTTGGAATAAATTATGACTCTGACTCTTTCCCATGACACTCATCCATCTGATCTATAAAAGAGAAAGGTTAACAGACTTAAATTAATTTGATGAACAGCGCATCTGCTTTAACTCATTGTCATGTACAACCCCAATTCCAGAAAAGTTGGGACATTTTGTGAAATGCCATACAATCAAGAATATGTGATTTGTTCATTCTCTTTAACCTTTATTTAATTGACTAAAGTACAAAGAAAAAAATTCCAATGTTTTCACTTGCCAACTTAATTTTATTTAGTAAATATAAACACATTTTTATTTTGATGGCTGCAACACACTCTAAAAAAGTTGGGACAGAGGCCTGTATAACACTGTGTCACATCAACTTTCCTTTTAATTATTCTTTAATTTTTTGGGGAATTGAGGATACAAATTTTTGACCAGTCTCACTTGATACAACACTTCAGGTGCTCAGCAGTCTCTGAATGTCGTTGTCTGATTCTCCTTTTCATGGCTGGTCATACATTTTCAATAGGAGACAGATCTGGACTGATCTAGCACATTCACTCTGTGTCTACGAAACCACGCAGTTTATTTATCTACTACAATATTATTTATTAATACTTTGAATTAGCTTTTATTTTATATTTTCACATTTAATTTAAATTTTAGTAAATTTTTTTTTTTTTACTATAAATTTTTTAACATTTTTGTTTAGCTTTAATGTATTTTAATGTATTTTTCTGTTAATTCTGTGAGTTGCCACGGCACTAAAAGTTTTAGTTAACAATAACAACACCAAAAGGAACTCAAATATTTCTCCTTAACTGAGAAGTTCATTAAGTCTCTGAGTTTTATGTTTCCAGATTGACTAATTTTGTATTTTTCCAAATAAATGAGTAGTTGACATCATCATTTGACACTATAGTACATTCAGTGTTATTATCTTTCGAACTTTTCACCCGATTCATTTTTTTTGTTTCCTGTCGTCTCTCCTCAGTGATGCTTTGACAGTTTGAAGGGCTTCCTGAGACTCGCGCCACTGCCATGGCGGTGCGCTCTGACCTGTTGGGTACGGCTCAGCCGGCGTTTGAGTCCTGGCCTGCAGGCAGTGGCAGTTCTGTGGAGGAGCTGGACGTCCGGAGTTTCCTGAGCTCACTGATGGTCTTTGGGACTGAGAACATGACGTCCATTTTTCCCAGAAACAAGCTGAAATGTGGACTCATCTGACCACAGCACACATTCCCACTGTCTTTTTGACTATATGAGCTCTGGCCCAGAGAACCCATCACTGCATAGAATTGATGTATAGCTTTCTCCTAGAGTAACAGAGATTCAGGTTGCATTTGTTGATGCAGCAGCAGACTATGTTAAGTGACAGTGGTTTTCCGAAGTACTCCTGAGCCCATGTGGCTATATTTAACCCATGACAGCTCATGCTCATTTAACTGAGGTTTCCTGCCTTGCCCTACACAGACTGAGATTTCTCTGGATTCCCTAAATCTTTTCAGAATATTATGTATGGTTGTTGTTGGTGAAAGACCTAAATTCTTTGCAATTTTGCATTGAGAAATGTGATTTTTGATTTGCTTGACACTTCTCTCATTAAATTTGGCACAAAGTGATGAGCCATGATCCAGCTTTGCTTTTTCTTTTTCATCTTTTTTAAAAGATGCTCCTTTTAAACCCAAACATGATCCCTTCGCCTATTACCATTCACCTGCTTACTGGGAACTGTTTCAAAACAGATTAACTTGGATTTTCTTTAATCGTTTCACTTTTATTTTGCCTCTGTCCCTACTTTTTTGGAGTGTGTTGCAGCCATCAAAATCAAAATTTGCTTATATTTACAAAATACATTTAAGTTGGTCAGTGAAAACTTTGGAAATCTTTTCTTTGTACTTTTGTCAGTTAAATAAAAGTTAAAGAGCATTAACAAATCGCAGATACTTGATTTTATTGCATTTTACAAAACATCCCAACTCCCAACACTTCTGGAATTGGGGTTTATGTCTGTAGAATCTAGACTACACTATTGGTCAAAAGTTTGGGGTCTGTTTTTATTTAGTGTTTTTGAAAGAAGTCTTTCTTATGCTCACCAAGGCCACATTTATTTGATTAAAAATACAGTAAAAACAGTTATATATTTAAATATTATTATAATTTATTGCTATAATTTAATATTGTAAGAATATAATACAATGTGAGATTTTTTATAATCTATATTTTAAAGCTCCATTTTCTGCAGACACAGTTTTTAATGTGACATGATCCTTCAAAAATCATTCTGATATGGTGATTTGATGTTCAAGAAACATTTCTTCTTATTGTCAATGTTAAAAACGGTTGTGCTTAGCACAAGTATTAATTTCTTTTCTTTTTTTTCTTACTGACCCCAAACATTTGAATGGTATTGCATATCTGAGTCAAACTCAACAACCAAATCAGTTTAGTTTGTGAATTAATCTTTTCTGGTTTTGTAAACCGGATCAGCTGATGTATTAAAAATGCCAGACTCAAAAGAATGAATAATTTTTAATGAAATTATAAACAGCAGAATTGTTTTTTGCAGTCATTTTTGATGACGCTTCTGGGGCAGAAACCACACGCTTCAACCATTAAGTTTAGAACAAGTTGCTAACCAGCATATCCTAGGAAGCTCAATAGAGACCTGTAGCTTCCCAGCAGTCAGTGTTTTAAGTTGTCTTGTCATTGACTCTTCCTTCCGGTGTCATTATGAACACAAGTGTGTATGCAGACCTCACTGCCTGTTAGTTTCCAAGACAACCATTCACCTCTCTCTGGCCAAAGAAATGGTTAATTATTACTGCTGGCCAGGGGTCTAGTGAGTGTAAGTGCTTGCTTACACAAATAGGCTAGTTCTTACTCTTTTTATATCAATAGCTTTGACACACATTTAAAGTGACATAATGGCTTCTGGGTATATTCTGGATTATTTGCAATCTCTATATGAGCATTATATCAAGTTATTTTTCGCTGTGCACATCATTTACTAACAGTTTCCATATAAATTAGTATATTTTTTTTTATTAAGGCCACTCTAAAATCTCTTGAACATGATATGTATGCTGATATAACTGTGGTTTGGTGTATCTGTATTCTAGTTCCTGCTTCTAATCTTCTCCTGTTTGAGGAAAGCAGCGTGGGACTATGGTCGTCTGGCTCTGCTTATGGAAAATGACAGGTATCATCTTAGAACTGTTGACTGATTGAAGAATGCATTAAGATGTAAATAATTGAACTGTGTGTGGTGTTTGAGTGAACTGAATGCTTAGCAGGTCAATGTGAAATCCTGGTGCCACCTGCTGGTTTACACAGGGCATAGTTGGATCATGATGTTATATTATTTGTCTGATTGATTGTGGCCGCATTACCACCTTGGGTGCATTATTTTCTTATAATTCAATGACCCCTCATCAATTATTCCTTTTATATCAATTATAATTATATCAATTTCCTAATCAAAATTAGAGATCTATAAATATTTGATTGATTTTTTAATGAAATATTATTAATCTTCATCGCTCAAAATTTGAAGAAATATTAGCTGTGGGTATAACACTGTTCCACTAACATGTTTGACAAAATCACCAAAGCATTTGAAAAAAAACTTTATTTTGCGCGAAACACAGTGATCAAAATTAGAGAACAGGAACCACTGTAGCACAAAAGAAGATTACAACTCAAATTTTAGAGGGTTGCAGCTGTCAGAAATTAGTAGAGAGTGTAGCGGCCCCTGCTTTGATTGACTTCAGCACATCTGCGGCTGCAGGACATCACTAGTTTCTCACACTGTGCTGCTGTGATCTTGGTTCACTCTTCTTCCAGTCTCTTCCATAGTTCAGTAATTGTAGTGGGTTTCTTAGCCATAACTTTGTTGCCAAGGATTTTCCAGAGATTTTCAATCAGGTTTAGATCAGGACTCTGTGCCGGCGATTTCATTATTTCAATGTTCTTAGCTTCAAGGAAGCTACGTTTTACCCGTTTTGCAGTGTGACGGGGGCATTGTCTTGCATTAAAATTGCAGGCTGATTGGGAGATGCTTGCAGGGAAGGTACCGCATGTTGCTGAAGGAGGTTCTGATAAACATTTGCAGGGAAGTTGCTAAATCCTCGACCTACAGCGCGATTGTTAGAATCAGAAGGGTAAGTGTACTGCAAGCTAGCCAAAAAACTCAGCGCATCAGAGAGGCAGAGGAAGGGCCTAGTTCGCCTGATGCTGCTGGTTCCAGGTGCTCTGAGAAAAACAGAGAACTAAATTCTCACATGAGAGGAGAACTCCGAATTCAGAAGGAGTAGCGTGCTCATAGGTAACCCTTTTATAAAAGGGGAGCACTGCTCAGCACTACCACGAGAACCGCCCATGGAGCGAGGAATCCGACTCCTCAGAGAGAATTAAACCTGCCATGTGTCTGTATAAGAGGCTCAACTCCTGCTGCCGAAAACATCCCCCAAAACATGACACGTCCTCCTCCACCTTTCACTGACATCTTTACACACTTGGGCTTCAGTCTTTTCCCAGTTTGACCCTGAACAAAATGTTTCCCACCTGACCCAAATATGCTCTCATCACTAAAGTGAACTTTGGTCCAGTTCTCCCCTCTCCACACAACATGCTCCTCAGCAAAGGTGAGCCTAGCCTTTCTTATTTTTGCTAATGAGAGGCTTGGTCACTGCAGAGTGCGATTTCAGTCCGACTTCTCTTAAACACGCTGAGACAGATCCACACCATAAGCAATTCCAGCTGCAGTGTTGAACTTAGAAGCTCTGCATTATCATGTCCACTCATGCATTTGTCTTACGTGGACAACCTGCCTTTTTGGGGGACTTGAATGAGTTAGTGTCATTGTAAAACTGCAATATTCTAGAAATTACAGATTTGGAATGACCAACTTCTCGTGCAGTTGCTGAAATTTTTATCAGTTCTTTTTCAAATATCTCTGTAAGTTTTTTATACTGTGCTTCTGAATACAATTAATTTATGAAATATGCTTAAAAACGGCCCTTCTACTCCTGTTAGGATAACTTCAAACAGGAATAAGCAGTGACCTTGAAATTGAGGAAATTATAGGTTCTCTAAATTTGTTCTAATAATTTTGGTCTCCACTGTATATATGTAGTAATTGTGTCATTTATTTATTTATTTCAGCATTTCATTGTCAATGCCATTTCATTAAAATTTTGCTCACATTTTCAAGATACCAGTTCTATTAAAAAAAAAATTATTAAAAACTTTAGTCCCCGTGGGAGCAGTGGGTGGAATTTGATCATAAGTTTTAAGACTTCTGTTGCAGCAGCGCTGCTTTATTCTGCATCAGCATGTCGCATTAAAGTCTTTGTTTATGTGAATGTGCAGCTGATTCTCAGTGTGTATATTTGCAAAGCATTGCATCAGTCTACACTCACAGTAATAACATTTTTACATCTATACACACTAGAATTTTACCTGCTTCTTTTCATTTCCTGTAATACACCTAGGTGGAAATATTTGCAATTTTATTTGCTTAAATGGTTGTTTTATATGTGGTTATCTGATTAACACTTCAGATTAGGGAACTCAATAAACCGTCTCAGGTTACTTATATAACCATGGTTCCCTGAGTAGGGAACGAGACACTGCGTTCTCTAGGGGTCACTATGGGGAATGCCTCGTCGTGACCCGTGTCTGAAGCATACATTGAAAAAACACCAGCAACACGTTGGCCGGCGTTAGCCGTGATGTCACTACCGGTGCAACTATGGTATAAATAGGCACCGGGAGAATACATCATCCACTTCTTCATCTGAAGCTTGCGTCCGAAGCATGGCAAGAAACCTAGAGGACGCAGTGTCTTGTTCCCTACTCGGGGAACCATGGTTACATAAGTAACCTGAGACGTTCCCTTTCATGGGAACTTCGAACTGCGTCCTCTAGGGGTCGCTATGGGGAACGGTATACCCATGCCACCATGCTGAGGGGAGTGCATGCCAGAAACCATGGCGAGCACTAAGTACCAACTCTACCATATCTCCATGGGAGTTGCCCCTGGGACGTTAGACGGCTGTCAGTGACATTATTCCCTACGGCCAAATACCTAGGCTACATACCCCACAAAACTTACCTGTTAGGGCCAGAACTCCTGGGCCCGGGGTAGAGCTCAAGATTCCTTTAAGGGAATACGACCAAGAGCCTAGAATCATACTAAGTCTTGGCCTGTCACACAGGGGCTACCGCACG